CGATGGCGGCAGCGGCGACAGCGGTGGGCGAGGAGGCACGCGATGACGGCGACTGGCTGGTCTGCTTGGTGGTCGGAACGGATGCAAGGGCTGGGCGAGCCGCTGCGGGCGCCGCGAGGGACGCTCGAGCGCGAGCGGGACGCTTGGTTGGCGAGACGGGAAGCCGGGGCGGGTGGCGAGCCGCCTGCGCTGGCTTGGCAAACTCCCGGGCGTTTCGGGCTGGAGCGAGCGCCAGCCAGCGACTCGCAGCTTGGTGGGTTCCCGCGCGGCCGACGGCGGATCCGGAAAACCGGGGCGTCTCGCACCCCGGCCTGGCCTGGCGGAAGCGCCGACACCTCGTTCGGATCTCGCCCGCCCTGCCTGGCCTGCCTGCTGGCCCACCGATCGAGGGTCGGAAGTGTCAGACGGGGCCCGGCTGCATCGTCCGTCGGCTGGCGTACCGACGCAGCGGAGCGAGCCGCCAAAACCCTTGGCTGGGTCAGGCTAGGCAACCCCGACTTCGGAGGGTTTCCCGCAGGGCGGCAGCGTGCCGATGGTGCCAAGAGCGGCGTCATGCCGCGGCTAATCCCGGACGATGTCGTCGTCGTCGCCGCCGTTGTCGCCGTCTTTGGAGCTCCGGGGATGCCGACGGCCTCGGAGACCTTAAAGGCCACGCCTTCGACCTCAGCCCGACACCACCATCATCATCACCACCACCGCCATTGCGACTGCCCTACTCCTCCGCCACAGCACGGCCATGGCTCTCTGTGCCTGCTGTGCACTCACCCCCTCTCCTCCATCGCAACCTCGCTCTTCGCCATGATCCACGCACCCGTCGTCGACAGGTCCAGCTCGCAGCTCTCGACCAGCCTCCGCCCGAGGCCAGCGTCCAACAACAGCGACAGCCATGGCGCCAGCAACGACGCCGACAATCGCGACCTCGACATCTGCGACATCATCGACCTCGACCCGTCGATCGCACCGCCCCAGCTAGACGGCTCTCACCCGCTCGCAGAGAAGCACTCGCGCCTCTCGCTCCACGAGGCCAGCCTTTGGGACTCGCTCGCAAAGTTTCGCTTCGAGACAAACAAGGAGGTCGACATCCTCCTCGAGCGTGTCACCGTCCAGGGACACCGCCATCGCCCTCACTCGCTCCGCACCGTCCCCGACGCCTTTGTCGAGAATGCCACCTTCTTTGCCACGCTCGGCGGCTACCTCACACGCTGCTTCTCCAGAAGACAGCAGGTCGACACGCTCCTTTCGGACATCACCGCTCGCTTCGACCCCGGCGAGATGGTCTTCGTCCTAGGCCGCCCTGGTTCGGGCACCGAGGAGCTCCTCCAGCTTCTCTCGAACCGCACCGCGGGCCTGGCTTCCGTCCAGGGTCGCTTCGAGTTCGCCGGCGTGCCCGCACAGCAGTTTGCTCGCGACCACCCCGCCGAGTCGCTCTACGCCTCGGCGTACGACGAGCACTATCCCACCGCCACCGTCGAGGACACGATCCGCTTCGCCCTCGAGGCAAAGACGCCAAAGGTGCTGCCGCCAGAGATGCGCGACGACCCGCAGCGCTACGTCCGCGAGGGGCTCGACTCGATCCTCGAGCTCCTCGGCATCGGCCACGTCCGTGGCAGCATCGTCGGCGACGAGCACCTCCGCGGCGTCTCGGGCGGCGAGCGCAAGCGCGTCTCGATCGCAGAGATTCTCGCCTCGGGCTGCGCCGTCGCGTGCTGGGACCAGTCGACCAGGGGCATGGACAGCACCACGGCCCTCAGCTTCGTCAAGGGCCTCCGCATGATGAGCCGCCTCTTTGGCGTCATCAACATCGCCTCCTTCTACCAGGTCAGCGACGACATCCTCGGCCGCTTCGACAAGGTCGTCGTGCTCGAGCACGGCAGGCAGGTCTTCTACGGCCCGCCGTCGGCCCTCGTCGACCACTTCGCCAGCCTCGGTTTCGTCAAGACGCCCGCACAGACCACATCCGACTTTGTCACCGCCTGCCTCAGCGGCAGCGCCGACCGCGGCTCTGCGACTTCGCCCGACCGGCCGCTCGCCATGACCGCTGCAGACTTCGAGCACGTCTTCCGGGCCTCTCCACTGTGGGCCAGGCTGCAGGAGCAAGTGGCAGCGCCCCCGCCGGCTTCTTCGACGTCGACCACGTCTCCAGCGGACGTCACCGAGCCTCCGCCCGCCTACCGCCTGTTTGAGCAGGCCGTCAAGGGCGAGCGGCGGAAGGGCCTCATCCTCGGCCGCACGTCGTACACGGTGCCCTTCCGACACCAGGTCAAGGCCCTGCTGCGGCGCGACCTCCGGCGCAAGGCGAGGGGATGGCCCGACCTGGTCGCTCTCTACGGCTTCAACCTCTGCATCTCGATCCTCATCGGCACCGGCTATCTGCTGCTCGCCTCCACCGCCAGCGGCGCCTTCATGCGCGGCGGCCTCCTCTACCTCACCATCCTCTACCCGCCGTTCGAGGCGTTTGGCCTGGTGGCCACCTGGATGGAGTCGGCGACAATCGGCGCGCGCCACGTCGAGTACCGCTTCCACAGCCCGTCGGCCTCGGAGCTCGCCTTCTGGCTGGCCGAGATGCCGTCGCTGATCCCGCAGCTCTTCGTCTTCCTGCTGCCCCTCTACTTCCTCTCGGGCCTCGAGCGCACGGCCGGTGCCTTCTTCACCCTCTACCTCGTCGTATTCGGCGTCTACAACACCTTCATCTTCTTCTACCGCGCCTCGATCGCCTTTCTCGGCCACGACTTTAGCGCCGTGATGCGCTTTAACGTCGTCATGCTCACCGGCAGCATCATCTTCAGCGGCTACCTCGTCCCGCTGCGGTCGCTGCCGTCGTTCACAAAGTGGCTCTACTATGTCAACCCGATCCGGTACGCGTGGCAGGCCACCATGACCAACGAGTTCCGCGGCCTCGTCCTCGAGTGCGACCCGGACCAGGTCGTCCCGCGCAACGTCGATGGCCTCGATCTGGGCTACGGCAGCTCGATTGCCGACCGCACCCAGGCCTGCAACATCGCCGGCGCTGGACCGGGCGACTCATCGGTGCGTGGCAGCGACTACCTGCGATCCGCGTTCGGGTTCAGCGCTACGAGCTCCGAGATGTGGCGCAACATTGGCATCCTGTTCGCCTTCGCGCTCGGCCTGCTCCTGCTCGCCCTGGTGGGCGCCGAGATCAGCTCGCGACGCCTGCGTGCGCAGCCTCCGGGCCAGGTCGCGGTGCGCCGCGGCAAGTCGAGCGTCGCCGCACAGGCCGATGACGACGTCGAAAAGAGCGCGACGGACCGTGTCTCGACGACGACAGAAGCTGCGAGCCCGCCCTCGGCCTCCCGCGAGAGGAAGCTCGCGCCGCGGGCCGGCCTCACGTGGACCGATGTGAGCTACGATGTCCCCGCCAAGGGCGGCTCGAAGCGCCTGCTGCACAACATCACCGGCTTTGCGCCCCGCGGCACCCTGACGGCACTCATGGGCGGCTCGGGCGCGGGTAAGACGACGCTGCTCGACGTGCTGGCAAGGCGCAAGACGATCGGCAAGGTTCAAGGCACCATCTGCTTCGAAGGGCGACCCACGGACGCCGCTTTTTCGCGCCACTTGGCCTACTGCGAGCAGATGGACGTCCACGAGCCGACCTCGACCGTATACGAGGCGCTGCTCTTCAGCTCGAAGCTGCGCAGGCCGACAACAACGACACCCGAGGAGCACCGCAGGGGCGTCCTCGAGGCCCTCGAATTGCTCGAGCTGCGTCACCTGGCCGACACCCAGATCGGTCACGGCAGCACGGGCATCTCGACCGAGGCGCGCAAGAAGCTCACCATCGGCGTCGAGCTCGTCGCCCAGCCTGATTCCGTCATCTTCCTCGACGAGCCCACGTCCGGGCTGGATGCCCAGGCGGCCACGACGATCGTCGCGACGCTGCGCAAGCTGGCCGACCAGCAGGGGCTGTCGTGCGTCTGCACCATCCACCAGCCGAGCGCCCAGCTGTTCGAGAGCTTCGACCGGCTGATGCTGCTGGGGCGCGGCGGCGTGCCCGTCTACTGCGGCGAGATCGGCGAGGGCTCGTCGGCGGTGCTGTCGAGCTTTGCGCGCCACGCCGACGACGGCTTCCACCGCGACGACGCCAACCCGGCAGAGACGATCATCGCGCTTGTCGGCGGAGACCCGGAGAATGCCCAGCGCTGGGAACGGCACTGGCGCGAGTCGCCCGAGTGCCGCGCGCTCCACGAGCAGGTCGCCGCGCTCAACACTGCGGTGCACGACGAGGCGGCGGTGGCGGCAGCGGCCACCGCTCCGGCCAGCGAGGAGGGCTACCCGACCTTTTTTCGGCAGCTCTGCATCGTGCTGGGCCGCGAGCTGCGGGCGCAGTGGCGCTCGCCCGACTACTACTACACGGCGGCCGTGGTGCACCTCGCCACGTCGCTGCTCGTCGGGCTGACGTGGCTGCAGCTCGGCACGTCGGCGACGGACCTGCAGAACCGCGTGTTTGCCATCTTTGTCGCCATCTTCCTGCCGGCCTTCATCTTTGCGCAGGTGCAGCCCGTCTTTATGGAGTCGCGCAAGGTCTTTGTGCGCGAGTCGGCCAGCGGCACGTACGGCCGCGTCGTGTTTGGCGCGGCGCAGCTGCTGGGCCAGGTCCCCGGGGCGGTGGGCGCGACGGTGCTCTACTTTGTGCCGTTCTACTACCTCTGCGGCCTGCCGGCCCAGTCGAGCCGGGCGGGCTTCGTCTTCCTCGTCCTCCTCGTCGCGGAGCTGTACGCGTTTGCGGCGGGGCAGGCCATCGCGGCGCTGGCACCCAACCTGGCCATCGCGGGCGTCATGCTGCCTTTCATCCTGATCGTCTACGAGCTCTTTGCCGGCGTCACGATCCCGGGCCCGGACATGGTGCGCTTCTGGCGCAGCTGGCTGTACGAGCTCAACCCGTACACGCGCCTCGTCTCTGCGCTCCTCACGTCGGTGCTGCACGAGGTCCCCGTGCGGTGCCAGGGCGAGTCCGAGGTCGTGTCCTTCCTGCCGCCCGTCGGGCAGACGTGTGGGCAGTACGCGGCGGCGTTTGTCGAGGCCGTGCGCAAGGGCTACATTGTCAACCCGGACGAGGCGGCGGGCGCGGGCGCGTGCGCCTACTGCCCCTACCGCGTTGGCGACGACTTTACCGACGGCCTCGGCTTCCACTACTCGCTGCGGTGGAGGGAGTTTGGCATCCTCGTCGCCCACTGGTGCAGCATGGTCGTCATCCTGCTCGCGGCGTGCAAGTTCATCAACTACAACCGCCGGTGAGCGTCGAGGCTCGGCTTGGGGGGGAGTCATGGTCGTAGCACCGTAGAGGGCGTGTAGATATATAGATCGATGGACATCGAGTCAGAAGGGCAATCCTTGGAATCATGGTCACCTGCATAAGGTCTCTCGCACCCGCCCTTGTTGGCTGTGGCTCGCTGTGCTCTCAACCGTCCTGAAAGTGCGGTGCATCGACGACCCCGGACTCGCCGCGGCCCGCGAGGCCTGGGCTGCACGGGCGGAAGGGTCCGTTCCGATGCTGCGTTGCCTCGCGTGCTCCACCTGCCGCCGGCTGGTGGTGGTGCGCGGCGTGGGCCGAACTGGGCGGGGTAGGGAGGATATGGAGCGAGGGCATGCGTGACTCGACGCCCTCGACTGCGCCATTAGGGATGCTACGCCTTGCCGTGCCGTGTCAGACCATCGTCGAGAGTCGATTACATCGAGCGTGGCAGGGATATATGTAAGGATGCTCGGCACCTCGTTCGGAGGTGGGGTCGAGCATCTTGCACCCACACACGCACACGCATTCCACCGCATCGAGCACGAACAAGCAACCACCGAACACCGAACACCGAACACCGAACACCGAACACCGAACACGATCAGCGCCATCGAACACGAGCGAGCGCCACGGAGCCATGACGACCGAGGATGAACGAGGAGCGCGTCTGGCCGCCCAGCTCGACAGCTTCCGACTGGAGACGCGCCTACCGAACCTGGTACTACGACCTCCGGTATCCAACGACGGGCCAAACATGCAAGCCCGCACGCGTGACATGCGCAACACGCAGTTCCTGCCCCACCTCCACGCCAAGGTCTCGCAACCCCTGTCAGAAGTGCACGAGTGGATCGAGCTGATGCGCCGTGACTTTGGGACGCGCTGTCTCTTCCTCCTCGTCGAGTTCGATGGCCAAGTCATCGGCGAGTCCGGCTTGGGATTCCTCGATTGGTCCCACAGCCAGGCTGAGGCGGGTATCATGCTGTCCCACCAAGTTTGGCGCAGGGGATTGGCGTACGAGGCCCTACTTGCTAGTGTTCGGTTCGGGTTGGAGCAGCTGGGAATGGATAGGATCACGTTGGGCACCCTCGAGGATAACGTGGGCATGCGGGCCCTCCTGCGCAGGATGGGCGCCGGTGAGGGCACGCCGAGGGTCAGAACGGACGGAAGACTCGAGAGGGTGTACGAGGTTACGAGCCAGAACCTCGCCGTTGTCTAGTATCGACGCTGTCCTCGACGGGACGACGGCCGGTGCGGATACGAGGACCGATAGTCGGCCTCCCCCGGCGCCCACCCCTGTTCTCACACTCGATGAGCCATGTCATTGTTGGCCAGGCGCATCAAGACACAGGATGACATTCGTGGGACATGGAGCATAAGCACTTCGCACATCGCATATCGCACACCGTTCCGCGACGAGATCCGTCTAGTGGCCGGCGGCGGCGGGGACAGCGGTACCGCGCGCCGCCCTCTCTTCGGCGGAAAGACGCTCGTGCTCGTAGAGCGGCGGGAAGTCGGCGACAGACCGGCGGAAGAGGTACTTGTCCGTGTACCAGGGCAGCTGCGATCGAGGTGGCGGGGTGAGGGAGGTGGTAGGTGCGTTTTCGAAAGGTCAGCCTGGGGATCGCTCGACGGGCCTGGTGGCGCGGCCGGGCGGGCTCACCTTCTTTGCAAAGTAGCCGGCGTGTCGACGGTTGGACACCGAGAAGACGGCGTCGAGCTCCTCGAGGGTGAGCGACTTGGTCTCGGGTAGCAGGAAGTAGGTGTAGACGAAGCCAAACACGTTCCACGCGCCGTAGAAGCAGAATGCGCCCGTGTTGGTCAGCGTCTCGGTCATGGCGGGGAAGGTGAGCGAGAGGACTGCGGAGGAGGGGTGTGGATCGCGAGGCCAGGGACAGTGCGGGTCAGCCAAACGAGGGCTTTTCAGGCGCAGCAGCAGGGAAGCGACGAGCGACGAGCGGGGTGCACTCACCGCCGTTGAAGAACCAGCAGACGCTGACGGCCCAGGTCATGCCAATGGTGCGGTGGGCGAGCGGGAAGCTCTCGGAGGAATAGGTAAAGGGGACGGGCCCCTCTGTGGGGCTGTACGAGATGCAGTGGAGGTAGGTGCCGAGGGCGACCATGGCGACGCGGGCGTTGTCGCTGGTTATATAGAAGCTAAAGCCAGCCCAGAAAAGGAAGATGGCCATCAGCGGGAAGCCGATGAGGAGGAGGCCGCGGCGTCCGAGCTTGTCGATGGTCCAGATGGCAGGGAAGCCCGCGATCCAGTTGACGGCGCCCCAGCCGAGCGATGCGCCGAGCGCGGTGAGCTCCGTGGCGCCCGCCTCCTTGAAGATGGAGGAGCCTGCATCGTCGTAGCCGTTGCGATAGGAGGCAGGGAGGGGAGGGGAGAAAGGATGGGTCGGAGGCAAGGGCGAGGAGAGGGAGAGAAGGAAGAGGTGGGGAGAAGTGGGCGTCAGTCGAAAAGAGGTCCGAGCGGCGGCGGTCGGGGAATTTCGCCAAGTGGAGGCCGACGCGCCTGCCCGAAAAATGTTCGAGGACGCCATTCCCAACTTCCTTCTCGACCACCACCACCTCCTTCCTTCACTTCATACACCTTCGCAACGATCCCCTACCCACCGTAATAAGCATTGACGTTAATGCCACAGGCTTGCTGCATAATCATCACGAACGTAGCGCTCTGCGTTCCCTTGCGTATCCGGGGAACCGTAAAGAGCTCCAGGAGCCGGGAGCGCGACTTGTTCCGGTTGGCCTCCTCCTCGGCCAGCATGCCCTCGTAGGCAAAGTAGACGTCCCTCGCGGCCTGCAGCGGAGTGTTGCGGAGCCTCGACATCGCCTTGTACGCATCCGCGAAGCGTCGCTTGCCAAGGTACCTGCAAGGTCATCGGGATCCAGGGGAGAACAGGGCAACGCGTTCAGTTTGGCGCTCGCAGCTCGCCTACCCTCAGCCGCCATCACCGCGCCGTGCCTCGCCAACAGGACCGCCAGCATCACCACCAGGGCCACCACCGCTGCCATGTCTACTCACCATCGCGGACTCTCGGGAGACATGTAGACCAACACCAGCACAAAGATGGGCGGGATCGCCGCCGAACCCAGCATCAGCCGCCAGTTGAGGCCGTCGATGCCCGACTGGTTCGGCACATTGTAGAAGGCGATGTCGGCCACGAAGCCGAGCATGATGCCTCCCGCCGTCCACAGCTGCCACTGCATCACCAGGCCGCCCCGGATCTGCGCGGGCACCGTCTCGGCGGCGTAGATGGGCACCGTGGCGCTCTTGGGCGCGATGCCGAAGCCGAGAAAGATGCGCGAGATGAGCAGGTGCCACCAGGTGTGCGTCAGGCCCGCCCAGACGCAGGTGAGCAGCGCGATGGCACAGCTGATAAAGATGGCTCCGCGACGTCCGAAGTAGTGGTTGAGCGGCTCCGTGACCCAGCACGCCAGCAGGGCGCAGGAGAAGTAGGGCGCGCTGTTGATGATGCCGAGCAGCCACGACGACTCGTTCTGGATGCCAAAGGTCGTCGGGAAGAAGAGGTTGGCGCCGTTGATGACCGACTGGTCCATGCCCTGGACGACGGCGCCGAGCGAGCAGCAGATGACGAGCATGTAGAGCTGGCGCGGATGCTGCCAGCGGTGCGTCGTCTCGCGGCGGACGGCCTCCTTGTCGGCCTCGTCGAGCTCGGGCATATCCTCGAACCGCAGCGGGTCGCGGGCCAGGAGCGCCCCCTTGGCGAACACGTCGGCCAGATCGTCGAGGCCGGCGGCGTGGGCAAAGTCGCGTGCGCGCTGGACGACATCGGAGCGCGAGTAGCCCTTGAGCGGGTTGGCCAGCCGCACCTCGAGGTCGGCGGCGGCGTCCTGCCGGCTCTTCTGCGACTCGAGCTTGACATCGGCGGCGGGCGTCACGTGCAGGTCGTCGCTGGTCCGCTTCTCGTCTTCCTTGTCGGGAGACGGAGCGGTGGTGGTAGCGGCGCCGACTTGGTTGGCGCCGTCGACGCTCGAGCGCGTCGAGGTGTCAGAGGCCAGGGCAGAAGTGCGACCGTGCTGGTCACCCCTGCCTTCGTCGTGTGAAGCCGGTGGTGGGGACATGGTGGACTCAATCGGCTGGCGGTGAGTGAAGATGGGTGGGGATCGAGCAGCTTCGACGCTCGTCCCAGACTCGCCACCAAGTCGCCTTTATACCGCCGTCCTCGGTCTACGGCGCCCTTCTTCAGCGAGATCGCGGGCCTGCAGACGAAGCTCGTGGGGCCCCAAGGGCGCGGGGAAAGCGAGACGCACCCAGACGATCTGGCCATCGGGGCCTTCGCCGTTGGCCAATCCAGGGCCGTTGTAGGGGGCCTCTCGAGGTCTCGTACCACGTCGGGTCTGTGTCTGATCGGCAGCCAGACCCCCTTTCGGTGAGCAGAAGCAGGCAGGACTAGGCCAGCTTCGACCCGCGGGCCCACATTTGCCCCGATGCTCCGCCTTGAGACCGGCGACTTGGACGTCCAAGGCGAATCGTCGACGTAGCGCCGGTCTTGGCAGGGGTACGAGCGCAGCAGCAGAGGCCACATCGGAGGATAGAAGGAGCGGACTTTGTTCTGGCCTGGCGTTGGCCGTTCAATCGCTCCGAGGCTCCGAGCATTCGGCTGGCCAGTCGACGTGTCGGTCTTGGCAGAGGGCAGAGACGAAAGTACGGACCCGTTGCGCCACCTGGCCTGGCCCGTCCTGCCCGGCCTTGGTTGCTTTGCTCGTCGTTGCGCCTTCGCCACGTTGCTGCCATCGGGACCGGCGCTTTGGCGAGACGTTTGCATGGCGCCTCATCCAGAGCCAAGGGACTTGGCAAGGTCTACCCGAGCTTGACGATGGAGAAGGAGCAGGGCAGGGAGAGAAGAGGCGGTCGTCGGGCCAATCGTCGGGTCAGCTCCCCCTCCTGACCCTGGCCTAGACGACGAGTGATAGGTAGCCAGAGGACCTGGCCACCCCTTCTCGACTTCGGCTGGGTGGTAAACGGCTCCCCACAGGCCCCCACTGCGGTGGCCGAGCCTGCGACGTTGCGGGACGTACAAGAAGGCCCCGCTGGCTCGAGGCTCGATACGAGGTCCCGAGCCGCGCTCTATAGCCACCATCCCCTCGGGACCGACTGTACGAGTCAGATGAGACGATGCCGTGGGACCTACGACGAGCGAGGGCGAAGACGATGTTCAGTCAGCAAGCGTGCCTCCTCTCTCGCACGCCGCCGACGGTGCTCGTCTTGCGACAACCAAGACCGGATGCCCAGCGCGCCGTGGAGCGGGCGAGGCCAGGCCAAGAGGTCTTGGCGTTTTTCTTTCTCTCTCTTTACATACGGTGGATGCCCGCGGAGGAAAGGCGGATGCAGACGAGGGTGAGCCTTCCCCATCTGATCGATGCTGTCGATGCACCCACCTCATCCATCGTCATCCTATCCGGTCCTCCTCCGAGTCGTTGGTAGATGCCTGCTGACCTCTTCCATGCCAGGACATCGTGGCCTCAAGCATGTCCATGGCAAGCGTGGCCCGTCGACAAAGAGGCGTAGGCAGCCACGGCCGTCGAGGCGCTCCGCGTGAGCCGGCTTGCTCAGTCACTCCCAACAGCACGATGGGCGTGGGCTGTCCCGACATCCTCGAGACGGTTGCTGCGGCGAGAAGGCCAGCAGGCGCCCGCCACCCCCAATCAGGTTTTCTTTGCTGCTGAGCTGCCTACGGTATCTCACGCTACGGCCCGCTCGCAAGCTACACCATGGTCTTGCCCAGCCTTCCTCTCCTCCCTCGCCCCGAGCTCTCGCCCATATGACGGCGACGGCCACCGACCCGGCAGCGTGCCGCCCCTCGTCGGCTCATCCGGAGGGGCGGGCGGGCCAGATGCCCCCGAGTGGGGTCACCAGCCGCAGAACCGAGGACGGATCCGAGATCTACCTGCTGCGCTTCAAAGGGCGGGTGGGCGCCGAGGTGAAGCACGTCACTCGTACGATAAAGATGTCGGATCTGCCGCTTTGTGGTCTGGACCGCTCGCGGCTTGCTTGGCGCCGCCACGCACCCTCTCTAAGTAACTTAGCGATGCGATCCTGGCCGGACCAATGACGGCCTGGCTCACTGGCTGGCCTGTGGTTCCGGTTTGGCCGCCGAAGCAAGAAAGCAAGAAACGCCAGAAGGCGAGGCAGGCCGGACGGTTGGGGCATGGCCCGGGCTGAGCCGGACCCAAGATTGGTTGCCTTGGATCGGCAGCCAAACCGCGGGACGGATATGCCTGCGCCACCACCTGCCATCACCGCTGCACCGCTCGCAGGTCGTTCCACTCGACAGAAGAGCAACCTCGATGCTTCTTTCGTTTCGATGCTACGATCCCTCGTCTGTGCGACGGAACCGAACAGAGACGGCAGGGGCAGAGTAGATCGACGGCGAGGAGCGGCCGTGGAGTCGGCTGGCTCGGCGAGGGCACGGCAGTCAGCCGGCACAGATAGAGATGGGGAGCCGCCGAGCCAGGGGCTGGCTACGGCGGCTCAAGATTTACGCGGCCGAAAAGGCATGAATGCCGCGGCTGCAGGCGGCAGGCCAGGCAGCAGGTGCAGCCCCCTCAATCAGCAGCAGCAGCGGCCGCTTCAGAGGTGCCACAAATAGACGTACGGCCATCGTCGTGCTCGGCGTCGGCGGCTGCCTTTCAGAGTTCTCGACTCGCCCGCCAGGCCTCGGTCGTCGATGGACATCGTCGTACGGCGATGGTGATGCTGCTGGCAGCGGTGACGGCGGTGACGGTGAGCGGGCCGATGGCGACGACGCACCATCGCCTCGCTAGACGAACGAAGCCCAGGCCAGCCCTGCCCAGCAGAGGCCAGCAAAAGCCGCGCTTGCCGTGCCGTCGTGCCGGCCGGCGCAGTCGTGGCTGCCGGTGAGCTGGCCGTCCCTGCCTGCCTGCCTGCCTGCCTGCCTGCCTGCCTGCCTGCCTGCCTGCCTGCCTGCCTGCCTGCCTGTTGGTCGAGAGCGGACGGGCCGTTCCGCCTTTTTTTCTCAAACTTTGGCCTGCCTCCGTCTGTCTCCAGGCTGGCCAATCGTTCGGACGATGCCGAGATTACTCTCTCTAGGAGCTGATGTCGCTTGCCCACGCCCAAAAGCAAGCAAGCAGGCCGGTTAGATCGAGGAGCAAGGGCGGAGGCGTGGGCGCGAGCGAGCGGGCACAGGCCTGCAGCGGCCGCGACCTAGCTTCGGCATCCAGCATGCCGACCACGCTGCCGGCGAGCAGCCCGCCAGCCAAGCAAGCAAGCAAGCACGAAGGGTCCAGCGGCCGTGGGCGCCGGCATCCAGGCCGACGCCGAGCTGCCGGTGGTCGGCCTTGGCCTCTTTGTCTGCCTAGCTGCCTCTTTGCTAGCGCCGCCCTTGGTGCCGCTCTGAACCCAACCAGCCCAGCCGGCCGGCCAGCTTGCTTGCTTGCTGCTGCCTGCCGATGCGCTGCTCGCCGGACCCGTACCGCAGATCCCTGCCTGCCACTTGCTGCCCAGCTTCTCTGCGTGACCTCTTGGCCCACTCCTCGGCCCGCTACCGACGGCCACCGTCATCACCACCATCGACTCCCAGCCTAGCTCCGCTTCCTCGACGCCAACACGTACGCGCCCCTGCTGTCGGCCGTGCCGTAGATGCCGTCGTCTGCACATCGGCACATTCCCGTTTCCTCCTTCTACCCTCCCTTGGTTGCCCTGGTCGCCCGCCCTTCTCTTCATCTTCGGCCCAGCCTCCTTCCCCACTCCCTGCTTCCATCAGCCCTTCCTCCATCCTGCTCTTCGCTGCCCGCCCGGAACACCGTGTGCCTTCCCGGCACGCTCATACTCAAGCTCGGTCGCCCCGGCAGCCTCGACCGCGCGGTTCGCCACCGGCACCAAGCATCGCCCCGTTACACTCACCCCAGCACCGGCAATGCCGCTTGCACCACAAGCATAACCCTAGACGAGATCCATCATGCTCTAGACCGCACCGCAGTACCCCCTCCCTAAACCTCATATCATAACAAAAGCGGCATCGACGTTCGCTTTCTCTTCCTCAACCTGCCCGCAGCGTCGTCAGCACTCTGGGCACCATCATCTCCCCAGCGTCGACAAGGCTTCCTTGTCGATCAGCGGCGGCCCCAGCAGCATCAGCGCCCAGCGGACTCGCCCTCTCTCCGACGATCACGACGCCCGGATACTCGAACGGCCGCAATCGGCCTCGCCGCCGCCATGGCTTCGCTCGTTCCCCTTCCGAGGCCAGCACACCTTCGCCACCAGTCGGCCGCCCACTCGTCGCACTCGCACTCGCACGACCCAAATGACGACCCGTCGCAGCACCCGCCCCTGGTATCGCCTCTTCTCCAGCCGCTCAGCCCGGACGAGGTCGCGACCATCACGCTCGTTGGCGCCGAGGACTCGCGCCACTGGTCGCCCGCCCGCAAGTGGCTCACGACTTCCGTCATCTCGCTCATGGGCTTCGTCTCCCCGCTCGGCTCATCGATCCTCGTCCCCGGCAGCAAGTACCTCGACTTCGACTTTGACCTGGCCTCGCGCGTCGTCGCCATCCTCCCCGTGTCCTTCTTCGTCCTCGGCCTCGGCGTGGGCCCTTTTATCCTGGCGCCCATCTCCGAGCTCAAGGGCCGCCTGCCAGTCTACACCAGCACGAGCTTGCTCTTCATTATTTTCAACCTCGCATCCTCCTTCAGCCAGACCTACGTCACCCTCAACATCCTGCGCTTCCTGGCGGGCGCGGCGGGCAGTGCTGGCCCAAGTCTGGGTGCTGGCAGCATCGGCGACATGTTTGAGCCCCGCGAGCGCGGCCGTGCCCAGGCCATCTACGGTCTCGGCCCGCTGCTCGGGCCCGTGCTGGGCAACGTCATCGGCGGCTTCATCGCCCAGGGCGACCGCGACTGGCGCTGGCTCCTCTTCACGCTGACCATCATGTCGCTCGGCGTGTTTGTCGCCATCGTCCTGTTCCTCAAGGAGACCTACGCGCCCATCCTGCTGCGCAAGAAGCGCGAGAGAGCCATCGCCGACCGTCTCGAGCTCATCCGGCAACAGCAGCAGCAGCAGCAGCAGCAGCGATCGACGACGCACGTGCAGCAAGCGGAGCCACCTCGGAGGCCATCGCCGTCCCAGCGGCTGGTACAGTGGGCCAAGAGGCTCTACCCGAGCGCCGAGGCCAAGGCCAAGATCAAGCAGGCCCAGTCGCGTCCCTTCCGGCTGCTCTTCACCAACCCCATCTGTGCCATCTTCTCCCTCTACCTCGGCTTCTGCTACGGCATCGTCTTTCTCTTTCTGACGCAGCACCCGCTCCTCTTCCAAGAACGCGACGCTGACGAAGACCTGCCCACCGATGCCGAGCTACCCACCTACAGCTGGACGCTCGGCGTCTCGGGCCTGTCCTACCTCGGGCTCGGTCTGGGATTCCTGGCCAGCGCCCTGACCAACGTGCTGGTGCAGGACAACCTCTACCGGCGGCTGGTCCAGACCGACGGCAAGATCTGCAAGCTGCTGCTCAAGGACGCCGACGAGATTGAGCGGATCATGGCGGCGCGAAAGGGGCAGCAGCAGCAGCACCAGCTCGACGACCAGCAAGGGCAAGGGCAGCACCCGTCCAAGGACGTCGATCTCGAAAAGCAGAAGAGCATCGAGCCGGTCGCACCCGGCCCTGACAGCCACACTGCCGCCCCCGCCCCCGCCGTCGTGACGGAAAAGACGGTCACGGGCACGGCCACTGGCACGGGCGACGCCACGCCAGCCGAGTCCTGCGGCAGCGATGGCGGCGGCGACCGCGACCGCAACGACGACGGCGACGACGACGACGGAGCGGACGACGAGGATGCGGTCAGGCCGATGCCGAAGCAGGACGAAAACGACCCCGCAGCCACGGTGGCGTCATGGGGCGTGGTCCCGGATCCGGCGGCCACATCCAGCAAGCTAACGCCGACCGTCTCGGCCGAGGGCGACGACGCCATCAAGGCCAAGGCGACCGGCACGGCAGACAAAACGGGTCCGGCATCAGCAGCAGCAGCAGCGACGGTGGCGGCGACAGGACCGCCTGGGTCCCTCGCGACCGCTGCCGCCGCCACATCCTCGCCGACACCGAAAAAGGGCCGGCCCGAGTACCGCCTGCCGCTGTGCTTTGTCGGGATGCTCATCCTGCCCTGCGGCCTGTTTTGCTTTGGCTGGTCGGCCGAGAGCGAGGCGCACTGGCTGGTGCCGCTGCTCGGCAGCTTCCTGGTCGGCTACGCCACGATCCTGTGCTTCCAGACGATCCTCGTGTACCTGGTCGACGCCTTTGTGCCCTACTCGGCGTCGGCCACGGCGTGCGCGGTGCTGGTGCGCAGCCTCCTCGCCGCCATCTTCCCGCTGCTGGGCGAGGTGATGCTCGAGGGCATCGGCTACGGCTGGACGTCGTCGCTCCTCGCCTTTGTGGCGCTGGCGGGCGCGCCCGTGCCCGTGGTGCTGTTCCGGTACGGCGAGAGGATCCGCACGCGGCACAAGTTCGCCGGCTAGGCGGTGCAGCTGCGGGCGCAGCAGCAAAGAAGCGTGCCCGCCGCCCGCGTCGTCCCCTTGCGTATGTATCCCCATCACCCTACACGGCTTGGTTACCGCCGCCGCCGCCGTCGTCGTCGTAGTCGTCGTCGCCGTGCTCCTTGTTCCTCTTTCTTTTGGGCTTCCTCTTCGGTCCTTGTCCCACTCTCAACTCTGCTAGCATGGTTCTCTGCTCCCCTGCCTGTACTTGTACCCGCCACCCGCCACCACCGCATGACATCCACGCTCTCAACCTGCTCACCTGTATCTGTAGCGCAATCCCTCGGCTCGACTGGTCTGGCCTGGCCGCGACCGGTGCGGGACTCGTGTGCGCGCGATGTCGACGTGGCCTCGAGGGCAGAGAGGCGGCCATCGACCGAGACTCGACTCGACTCGGGTACGGCCTGGGTGGGTCGAGGTGAGGAAGATGGATGCGGATACGAAACGGAGCGGCTGCTGCAGTAATAGGATATGGGGGTGTCGACGAGGCGGGCTGGGATCTATGGCTCTGGTGCAGTGTGGATGCAGTGAGGCGGGGAGACGATCTTGTTTCTCGCTTGATCCTCTTTCGTCGTCGTCGTCGTCGCAGCCATGCAAAAGGGCCGCAGAGTGTTTTTAAATGTCGCGGCGCGAGGATTCGGGATCGAGGAGACGCTGTCTCTCTGTACCGCGGTGACTCTCCTCCTCGTCCTCCCCTGCGTGAGACGACGACGACGACGAGAAGAGGAACGAAAATGTGCCGCGGCCCGTGTCGGTTGATGCTGAAGGGTAGACGAGGTAGTGCTGCACGATGAGGATTGCGTCGTACCCGATTGAGAGGAAGGAAAGGCCGCTGGTTGAGTCGATGCCCGCGTCAGGGATGAGAGGATCGAGGGGAAACGGATGGGTGAGTGAGCATGAGCGGGTCTCGCCAGCGCGGCGTAAACGGGCGGGGAGGGAGAGGGGGGATCAACGGCGCGGGGGGAAATGGCACCTACAGTTTGCCCACGTCGCCCACGGCGCCCTTCCAATCGCCGCCGAGGCGCTGCGCATCGACGAGGAGCTGCGCGAGGCTCAGCACGCCGCCGGCGGCGTCGAGGAGGACGTTTTCGATGCTGAAGCCGCGGGTCGACTTGCGCGTGTAGTTGAGGACGACCTGGGGCAGGTACTTGACGAGGGTGACGGTGAGCTTGATGTAGGCGAGGGTGTCTGCGAAGGCGAGGGCCGAGATGGTGTCGAGGTTGAGCAGGCCCAGCGTGGCGATCAAGGTCGAGAGGGCGGCGACGAGGAGGAGCGAGGCCGGTGTCGAGATGCGTTCGCCGTCGTGTCGCGCCTCTTGCTGCACCTCTTCGGCCTGGATGGCCTCGTACCGGCTCGAAGGCCTACTCCGCGGCGTGGGCGGCAAGGAGGGAGGGGTGCGGTAGCGCCACCACTGCCACGCCGTCAGGGCCGAGACGAGTGCGGCGTGGGTGGCAAACACGGCGTCGTTCCACTGCACCACATTGTCGGTCCCCCACCGGTGGCGGTACTGGCGCTGCACGGTAGGCGAGAGGAGAAAGACGAGGTTGTAGGCGGCGTAGCAGCTGTGTCCGACGAGGTTGAGGAGGACGTAGTCGCTGCTCAGACCGCGCACCGACTTGGAGCGGTGGTTGATGAGCACCTGCGGGTAGAAGGAGAGGGACCAGAGCACCGTGTAGGTCCATCCCAGCAGGCGCGAGAGGGACGAGAGGGCGAGCTCCGACGACATGGTATTCTGCGGGGGCGAGACTGAAACAGTCACGGGCAGGTGGTGGTGGGTGAAAGGGCCGGGTGGTGGTGGTGGTGGCGGTGGTGGAATAGAGGGAGGAGGATGGAAGAGCGGCCCAGACCCCACCCCGAGGGGGAAAGGGCAGGTGGGCAGGCGGGCAGGCGGGCAGGCTGGGTTGTGGAGGACGACGTGGGCCCTCCTGGCAGCCGGCAGGCCTCCCTTGGCCACGCCACCCGTTTCGCCCGTCTGCCAGAGGGCGCGCGCGCAAGTAGCTAAGAGTGGACCCCGCCTACCTAGCTGCCTGCCTGCAGCGCCACGCAAAGCCATAGATAGGCCTGCCCTCCTAGCCTGGCCTGATGCGGGCGGCCACTCGCCAGCCGCACCGACGCCATCACATCGCATGGCGCCGGCGCCTCAATCCCCCGCTTCGACTCGACTCAAATTGACACCCATGCGCCGCGCCTGCTCTGCTCGAGCAAGCATGCTATGGCGAAAGGGGCGCTCCCCCCCCCTCTCTCCAACCTCTGCTCCCCCCCCTGAACCCAACAATGGCGACTTCCACGGACGCCGCGTGGCGCAGGAAAAAGGCGTGCAATGATGGAATGACGGCGAGGCATGGAAAAGGTAGCTCCTGCTCGCACCCAAGGTGGTGGCGACGGCAAATACACGCCCGTCCAACTCGACCGCTACCGCGCCTGCTGCTCAAACAGCCTCCTTCGATCGTGGATGCTGATGGGCCCCTCGTCGAGGTACCGCTCAATGTCGGACCGCACATCCTCCTGCGCGTTCGACCCGTCAAACGACCGCCCCAGCGCCGCCGCCTCCCGCCGGATCCGCTCCTCGTACCCGTCGTCCTGGTCCTTGGCGCGGCCGTCGTCGCCGTCATAGTCGACGACGGCAGCCAGGCTGCGCGTCGAGTGCGTCAGCGGCGTGTCCTGCGTCGAGACCGACGTCGATGCCTGCGTCGACACCGTGTTGGTCGAGCACGACGACGAAATCGTCGAAGCCTTCTTGGTCACGCCTCCGCCCCCGCCGACGCCGCCGCCGCCTCCTCGTCCTTCGTCGGTCGCCGACGCCGGCTTCTTGGTGATGTTGAGCGGCCGCGTCGAGCCGCCAAAGCTGCCGCTGGTACTGTGCCCATTGGTCGACGGCTGACCCTGCGCGGCCTCGTTCACGCCGCCGCCGCCGCCGCCGCCGCCACCGTCGTGCGACGTCTCCCGGCTCCGCTCGGTGCCCGACGAGCCCTTCGACGAGCCCCGGCCGTGTTTGCTGCCCACGGCCACAAAACCATCGAGGCCGGCCACCGAGTTCTTGCGACGCTCCCGACCGGCAAAGAACGACCGCTGGCTGCTCGTCGGCGGCCGTGGCCGGTCCAGCGCGCCACTGACTCCGCCAGCGACTACGCCGACGCTGCCGCTGCCGCTTACGCCGCTGCTGCCACCGCCACTGCCGATGAAGCGGTTGGCCACGGGCGTGCCGTCGTGTCCCGCCAGCTCGACATCGCTGCCAGTCACCGACCCGAGCGACGGATTCGTCTGCCGATGCGACCAGATCGGATGCGACGAGCCGTTCTTGGTGCTGAGGACCGGGATCGACGAACCGGCAACGGCGCTCGGGCTCCGCAGCAGCGTCCGATCCGACTGCGAATGCCCAAAGCGGAAGGTCTGCATCGCGTCCGGAGTCGCCGCGCCGCTCCGCAGCTTGGCATAGTACCGAGCAATCGGCGGGCCGCCCTCGTCATCGTCCTCCTCTTCGTCGATGATGGCGTTGCGAGTGGGTGCCGTGTCAAAAGCGGTCGTCCCCGATGGCGAAGGCGACGTGCCCATCCCTGCGCCCTGCCGACGCGGGGTCAAGCTGCTGCTGTCGAGATCTAGGCCTCGATATCGCGACGCCGCCTGCCGCGCATGGCCTAGCCTGGCTGGCGAGGCGGACTCGGCTCCTATGCCAAACGGATCGCGCCGCCGAGCGCCGATATCGTCAAAGTGGCCGAGCGACGTGCTGGGCCGCTCGTAGAGCGTGGCACGCAGGTCTTCTGGAGGCGTCGAGGGTCGTACCGCCTCCATGGTCTCACACTGGTCCAGCTGCGGAGTTCGTCCAGCCGAGCTCGCGATCGACGCCTTGCTCTGATGGCCCCGTACCCAGCTCGGCCGGATGGACGAGGGCGTCGTGGTCGGCGAGGCCTCGGCAGGTGCCGGGTTCTTGCGGTCGGACCTCAGCACGCCGCCGCTGAGTAGGCTGGCGATGCTGGCGGTCGACGACCTCTTGCGAATGCGCTGCGGCAGCTTGCTCGGGGTCTCGGGCTGCGCCTTTGGCTTTGCATCCTGGCTCGTAGGCGAGGCAAGCGCGGCATCGCTCACGATTGGTCGAGAAGCGGCGGCCGCGTCAACGTTGCGCCTGAGATGGGCAGGGCGCTCGGGCAAAGGGGGCTTGGGCTTGACGTCGCCATCCAGTGCAGGATCCGGGGCCGGCCCAGGGGCAATGAAGATGTCGGCGCGGTACTCGACGATGAGCTTGAGCATCACGACCGAGAGCGACAGCGTGGGCGCCAAGACGAGGCACAGGTTGCTCAAGGGCTGCCGTTAGCAGCACGAGGCGAGTGCATCGACGACAAAGGGGAAAGGAAAGAGAGCGATGGCCCTTGGGTCAGTGCGCTGCACAACCTCGCTCCAGCGAAGAGAACAGCTGATCCAACTCCATCAGCGCTCACCATCTTTGTGCTGGCGACGATCTTGGGATCCGACAGCCAGCCGAGGTGCTCGCACAGCTCTCGCAGGAGGTACCAGTTCACGCAGGGAATCGAGCCAATGACGGGCACCAGGTGCTTCGAGACCGACTCGCTCGTGACGCCGGCGGTGGCGGCCTCCCTTGACGGGATCGATCTGGGCGGGGAGCGCGAGGCGGCCGCACCCGCCGCACCCGTCGCGGCCGAGGCGTTGGCAGAGCCGAGCAGCAGAGAAGCCGCGCGATCAAACGAGGCAGCCGCCTCGGACGGGATCAGGCTGTCGGGCAGCTCGCGCAGGTACGTCTTGAGGATGCTGCAGACGCTATTGATGTCGAGATCGGCCGGACTGATCTGCTCGAGGCAGAGGTCGGCCCTCTGGTCGTCAAAGAGCGCCCGCAGCTTGGCCGTGTGGCTGCTGCGCCCGCTCAGCCGGTAGATGCCCTCCTCCTGCGGACCCCATCGCTCGAGGCTCTCGATGCAACGCACGACGATGCCTGGCAGGTACAGGGCGCGCGCCTCGTCCCTGGTCGCCGGCGTCTTGCCGGGCACGCTCTGCCGGTTGCGGGATGCCCTCCGAGACGAGGCCAGCGGCGGATCGTCGAGAAAGTTCATGTTGACACTGAAGTCGGTGCCCAGGTCCGGAATCGAGAGCCGCGTGCCGGACGGCGTCCGCGCGTGGGCGCCCAGATCGTCCGAGGAGTCGATCAGCCTTGTCCGCTGCACGGCTTCACGCAGCGGCACGCCGAACAGGTATCCTCCCGACCCGGCACCAGCACCGGCACTGCGCGCGCCCGACATCGGGGGCGGCGGCGCCTGAGTCGCTGTGGGCGGCCGTCGACTGCCGCCAGGGCGCCCTACCTCACTGCTGCCCTCCTGCAGCACCGCCAGCCAGCGGCGCGTGGCGGCATTCTCGCTCTGAGCCTGGTCGAGCCGTGCGCCAGAACGCCCAGCCTTGTCGGCTCGCACCGGTATCGCACTCTTGGGTGTCATCGAAGCGCCGTGGGCGCCGCCGCCGCCGCCGGTGTTGAACGTCCGCATGAAGTCCCAGCCTCTCCGTCCGACGGCGGCGCCGAGCTGCCCGACCTGACCGAGCGCATTGGCCACGCCACCGTGCGAGGCCAGCCCGCGGCTCGAGCCCCACGCTTCCTCGATGCTGCTCGTGCCGCCAGGTGGCCTCGTCCTGCCCGCGCTGGCAGCAGCGGCGCCGTTCGTCCGGCGGGGCGGCGGCAGCGGTGTCGACGACGATGCCCGGAGCGGGCCGAACCCGGTCGAGCCCATCGCGCCCGTCGGAACGAGATTGTCAACGGACCAGCTGTCGGTGCGCGGCATGCTGGCGTATGGCACTTGGGCCTCGCAACCCTCGTCAGGCCGCGCCGAGACGATCGGCACGGCCGAATGGGGCGGCGGGTACCCGTATCCTCCGAGGCCTGCGTCCTGACGAAAGGCCTGCAGAACGCCCGGCTTTAGCTTGGCCGGCTTCTCGGGCGGGCCGAGCGCCGCTTCAAAGGCATCGCGTCCCGAGCTGGGCGGCTGCGAGGTCGCCGCCGAGGCACCAAAGTAGTTGGCGAGGCCGTGGCGGGCCGTGGTGCCGCTGCTCGAGGCCGCCGACGACTTGCCCATGGTGGCGGCGTGCTTGTTGAGGAACGGATGGGCAGAGGTGCCGGGCGCTGGGCTGAGGTAGCCGCCTCGACGGCTCGTCGCATCGCGCGGCGAAGGCACGTCGTGACTGCTGTAAAACGAGGGCAGCGAGGTGTTGGAGGAGTCGTCGTGCTGGCGGAACGACATCGACGTCGCTGGCCGAGGCGGGTGGTACGAGCTGGACGGAGGCCCGCTGCCGAGCTGGGCCCCGCCGTAGTCGTGGGGCGACCGGTACTGGTCCATCGAGCTCCTGCCCATGCTTGGGCCTTGGTGGCTCTGCGTCGACGAGGCGGCCGAAAGGTACTCGTTGGCCGAGCCTTCGACCGACGATTCGCCGCCATTGACCGAAGCCGCCGCCGAGCCGCCGCCGCCGCCGCCGCTGATCGTCTCGACATAGTCGGGACCGAGGTGGGGGTTGTCGCGGCGCCACGAGGGCAGCACCGACGGTGGCTGCGGGCTGCCCGAAGGAAGGGCGAGCCGGTCGTCCTCGTGGTCTCTCCGCCGGATGATCTGCACGCCTGCGGCCATCATCTCCTGCTCATCGGCAAAAGTCCTCCTCGAGTCGACGCCGCTGCCATTGCTCCGGTTGCCGCTGTCGAAGCCAGGCACGATAAACCCTGGCGAGGCGGCCGAGATGGAAAGCAAGGGCTGGTTGTGCGGGGCCGGACTGGCCGGACGGAGGTCGACGGTCTTCTGCTGTGCCTGGTACCACGCCTGCGTGCCCCTGCGCGGCGGCGAGGCTTGCTTGTGGGCCTGCAGCCTGGCGCCTGCCGAGGCCGAGGCCGAAGACGAGGGAGGGTTGGAATAGGAGCCTGACTGACCGTCTAGCTCACCGAAGGCCGAGGGTGCAAAGGCACCGGGGGAGCGATGGGAGGGGTTGGCGGCATTGTGCGTGCCGAGGAGCGAGAGGCTGGCAGGTTTGGCCTTGCGGGCGCGGGCGAACGAGGGTTTGGTCAGGGAAGAGGGTTTTGGTGGTGGGGCAGGCGGAGGCGACCTGGGGGCCTGTGATGCGGCGGCGGCCGACGAGACCGAGGCCGACGAGGATGACGAGGAGAGAAGGTTGCCGACCGAGTTGCGCCTGAAGCGCTTGAAGGGATCGGGCGACTTGCGGCCCGAGGCTGCAGCGTGGGCAGCAGCGTCTTGGCGCGTGGCCGAGATGCTCGTCGAGGCGTGGCCGCCGCCTCCTCCGCCGCCGCCAAATGAGAGTGGCATGGCGGTGCGTGGGGTGTCGCGGCAGAGGCGAGCCGGGTTAGGGAGGGAGGTGAGCTAGAGGGCGATGAGGGTGGGTGCGGAGGCGAATGCTAAGGAGGGAGCTTGGCCGCCACCAAGAGGGTCGGCGAGCGTGCCGTCGGAGCCTAAGCTAGGGGCGGTGTTTGCGATCCGCCATCCGCCAGAGTCGGTTCACGAGGAGGAGAGAGAAGAGCTGAATGGGTGGACGCCGGGCTGCGGGAGGAACAGGCGGCGGATGGGGCTGTGTAGCGACCTGCTGGGCCAGCCAGAAGAGGAGTGGGAGATGGGGAGATGGCGGCGTGCGGGGCAAAGACGGGGCGAGCCGGGTGTCGATGCGTGGGTATCCGGTTTGATGCTGAAGGCGGCGCCGAGGGGGTGATGAAGGATCGAGGATGCCGGGAGATGGAAGATGCGAAGATGGAGCAGAGAGGCTAGGGCGGGGGCGAGAGAGGCGGCGTTGTTGGAGATTCGAGCAGAGCGGCACTGTGGGCTCGTGCGAGAAGGGAGCGAGTGATGGGATGCCCAAGTGGCGGCGGTGGTGGTGGTGGTGACGAGGCTGACGAGGGTGACGAGGGTTTGAAGGTCGAGGCAGGCAGGCAGGCAGGCAGGCAGGCAGGCAGGCAGGCAGGCAGGCAGGCAGGGGTGCAGCGGGAGAGCAACAGCAGCAAAAGGTCGAACGAGCGAGCGGGTGAGCGAGCAGTAGTGAGCCTTTGCCCAAAGGTGAAAGGCGAAAGCGCAGCGCAGCCACGCCGAGCGCAGCCCCCAGCCAGCCGTACCAGGCCAGGGCCAAAAGGCCAGGTGTGGTCGGACCCCCCCTTGCTTGCCTGCCTGCCCGCTCTTGCACGCGTACTACGCTGCTTCTGCCTCGCCCGGTCCTCGTTTGCCCCTCTGTCTCTCTCGGGCCTTCCTTGGTTCTTTGTGCACCGCTCCTTGCTCGCTCATCATCCCGGGGCAGCTAGCCCCTGCTTCCGACGGCCACACGAGGCGTGCCCACACACACAAGCAGCAAGCGCCGACGTCGACCGACCGACCGAGCAGGCAGCCAAGTTTGGACCGCCCCTCGTCGCCATCAGCAGCCTGCGCACATGACGCTCTTCGCGTGCGCCTGCGCTCCCCTCGTAGCCTCGCGTCGATTTGCCTCTGGCCCTAGGCTTCTTTGACCGGTTGACCCCAATCGCAGCTTTAGAGTGCGGCTGTGTCCAATGGCATGCCATGGCATTGCCCCGCCGTTCCTCGCGCCGACAACGTAGGCTCAACCTGCTCTGGCTCTGGCTTTAGCTACACGCACGTCCAGCAGAACAAACAATTAAGCAGGTGGGGTTGTGGCTGACGGCAGGTAGGAAGGAAAGAAAGAGGTTGGGTGTACGTATGGCGGCCGGCCAATCGAGGCTGGCAGGCTGACAGGCTGGCAGGATGGCGGTACAAGAGTCAGACAAGACACGACGAGGCACGCCGCGCCGCCCCTGGAAGCCGAATCCGACAGAAGAAGTAGGCAAGAAGCGCTGCGCAGCCCATCGCCCGGTCCTCTCAGCGTCGAGGTCCAGCAGCCGCGTCGGGCGTCGGCTCTCAGCCTGGCCTGTCGCCTCACCTCGCTGCTTCTCCGGACTTGCGACGTCTAGAGCTGCGCTGTGCTGCGCTTTCGTCGTGTGCGTGTGCGTGCATGCATGCATGCATGCCTTTCTTGCTTTCTTGCTCGCTCTCTGGCGCATTCGAATGCGACGGCGGCGGCGGGGGCGGGCGACGGCGACGGCGACGGCGAGGCAGCATAGGGTCGTTTTGCTCGTTGCTCGTTCCTAGGCTGTTGCTGCTTTGCCGCGGCCTCTGATCTCAGCTTCGATGAGCGCCCTGCCTAGCTTTGCCCTGCCTGCCTGGCCGTGTGAAGGGTACGGTGGCTTGGCGTGCATCCGTTCGGCTTCTCTGCCCGCCGTCGGCTTGCTTCTTCCCGGGATGCCGCCCGCCTCTTTGGGCGTACGTCGTCGCATACCGCCATGCGTACGTAGCGTCCAAGCGCCGTACCTGAACCTGCTGCTGGCCAGGGCCGCCGTACGTCGTTTGGAAGCTCGCCTGCCCCCTTGCTCGCCCACGTCTGAGCTGCCCATCCTACGCATTGAGCAAGCTATGGCGTTCGGAACCCCACATCCGGTCGCCTCTTGGCGCCCGCCGCTTCCAATCGAGTCTCATAGGAAGATAGAGAGAGAGAGAGAGACAGAGAGGCGAGTCGACCTGAAAGAACGAGAGAAAGATCAGGGCTCAGCCCTGACCTGTCTGTCTGTCTGCGTCTCTGTTACGCCTTCGAGCTGCGCCCAATCTGCACGTATGTACGCCCTTCCGCCCGCCCGCCTGCTTGCTTGCAGGCCGGGCCACGCACGACGTAACCAACGCCCTCCCTTACCTCTCCCAGAGACGCCTCAGTACAGCGCAAACGACGCTCAGCGACCGACAGCCTTGACACCCGGCGCTCTATCTGTCGCCCTGCGGTTCTCTGTGGTCCCATAGCGGCAAAGAGGCACGCACGTCCGTACCGACCAAGCGGCGGCAGCGGCGAGAGCGAGGACGCGCACTGGACAGGACTGGGCTGGTACTCGACTTAGGTGGAAATACGGTAGCAGACGCCCCCGCCCTTGGATCTCGCCTTGTTACCGCCAGCCACCTCCGCCATCCGAGGACAATCGTCGACCATCGACGCTTGGACCAAGATCCTTGTTCCGCCCTCCGACGTTGCGCTTGCCCGCGCCTGCCTCGCTCGGTCGATCCTGGAAAGAGAGGCACGGGACGGCTCAAGATGCACGGGTCCATCGAGGGCAAGCCGCCGCCGCCGCCACCGCCTCTGCGCAATCCTGCACAGTCCCGTCTTGTCCCTACCTACCTCGCCGCTCGAATTGCCACGACGACGAAGGCGAAGAAGATGGGCTCCTCGTTCCTACCGCCTCGTCACCCCGCGACCATGAACAGATAGAGAACCAACGTCGCCCTGGCGCCCAAAAGAAAAATTATAGCGACCCACCCCACCTTCTCTCATCGCGACCAGCGCCTCGTCGTCTCTCTCTCTCTCTCTCTCTCTCTCCCTCCTTCCTCTGGTGTACTCACGCGGCTTCTCTCTCGGGGCTTGATGAAGCTGCGAAGGGGAAATCTGTGCGTGCTATCGGGGGTGGGCGAAGCGAGGCGCCAGGAATCGGGCCCATCCTGTAGCGGTGCGGGGAAACTCAACGGACAGCCTAGAGCCTGGGTGCGTCGACTGTCGTGTCTCTCTCTCCACCGCTTTTTTGGCGCACCAATTCCGCTCTCGCTCTCACCCGTGGAGAAATTTAGAGGGAATCAAGGGATTCGAACCGTCGGCCAAGTCGGCGCCGGGGCGTGGCGCTCGAGAAGAACAAACTACCTGTCGGTGGTAATTTTCGGGCAACTGCTTCGACTGCTTGTCAAACGCGGGTCTGTGTTGCAAGTCAAGCTAAAGTGCAGCATATATACCCCAATCCGTGCGATCCTTCTTCGACCGACCCCTGCCGTGGACGGACCCACGCACGGCCCGACAGACACGGACGATGACGCTCTCGCTGGTTATGCCAGAGCTGGTCTGTATTCGCCGAGTCTCTAGCTGCTGCCTGCATCGCTGGCGATGCTGACGCTTGCGCTGCGAGGGGAAGAACAGATGAACGCATGCAGCCGACGTACTACGTACTACATACGAGCCTCGGCGCCCGTCGTCGTCGTCGTGTGGACTCGCCAGTCGCCATCGTCAAGAGACCTGCTCGGAGGCGGCTGGCGGCGAGTGCGTGCGTGCGTGCCAAGTCGGGAGACAGAGAGAAGGAGAGGGCGATGTCCAGGAATTCGCGAGACGGGGTGGAACGACATGGAACGGGATGAGATGACATGAGAGGAGATGAGATGAGGGGAGGAGATGAGATCGAGACGATGCAGAGGTGGGCCGGCCGAGGGACGTGCGCGGAAACGGAGATGCTGCGGGCGGGCGGTGGAGTGGGATTCAGAGCTTGGAAGGCAAGGACCTGAGTGTTTGCCGACGAGGGAACAGAGCGGGTAGGGACGATGCTAGAGACGCAGAGAGAGAGAG